AAAAATAGTACAGTATAATACCTGTAAATAAAATAAAATAAATCCCTAAATCATTAATGATTTTGAAATAATGTACAGTAAAAATATATGATAGTAATTATGATATACTAAATATTATTAATACCTGAATATATACAGTATATAATATATACTATATATATATATTAGCTTAAAATAAGAGGATAATGATAATAATAATAATGATTATATCATATTAAGTAAAAAAATACAATAAATTAGTAAAATTTTAGGTTAAATCTGGATATTATTAACAGTAAGTCTTTTTTTAAATAATTATTTTTATTGTTTTTTATTTTTATTTTTAGATTATATATATTATAGTATATGATATCTTTTGATGTTTTTAATAGTGCCGTCAATTTTATTATTATTATTATATATATATATATATATATATATATATATATATATATATATATAAACAYAAATAAATTTATATACCKGAGCCCAATATTGTTTATAACTGTCTAAACCAATTGTCATATATATATATATAAATATATAAACAATATATTCTGTATATATATATATAATAAATATATCTTAAATTATATAATCATTATTGAGATATAAAATATAGTTTTTTTTTTGAAAAAATTAAATATTATCTTAAATTATTATTAAATTTGTGTTTATTTTAATATCATTTTTTTGTTRACAATTCAATAGCATATTTTTGATGATAATTTTTTTGCCATTTTTTGTTAAATTATATTTAATAATTAATTTAAATTTTAAAAAAATAATTTCTCTTTAAATGGTGTTATTTATAAAAACAAAAAATATTTTTTATTAATTTAATTTAATAATTACTATATAATAAACTATATCTAACATTAATAGGTATATGAAAATTATCATTAAAAAAACAATATCCATATATAGTTAAGTAAATTATTATTATTATACAAAAATAGTATATAAAATAATAATTATTAATATATGTCAAAAAAATACAAACTATAAAAAAATAAAAACTTTTAATACAGTGAAAGTATAATTAAATATTTATAAAATTTGTTATAAATTTTAATTTTAAACATAAATTTTTGTTTTTTTTGTTTCAATTAAATATTATAATTATTAAACAAGTTTATATAATTTTTAAAATTTTTCTAAATAAATATATATAATTTAATAACATATATAATATATACAGTATTATATTATAGTTAATCTAAAAAATTATTTTTATTAATAATAATATATTATTATATAATACTATACCGGTATATAAAACTTAGAWAATAATAATAATAATAATAATAATAATCAATTTAATATATATATATATATATATATATATATATATATATATATATATATATTATTATATATATAACTTAAAAATTATGGGTTCATTAACTTATTTAATACTGTAATAACACTTTCAAAATAAAATATATGTTTTTAAGAGACACTACTATTTAATGGATAAAACTTTTAAAAATTAATTTCATTAACACTATTAAATGGGCCATAAAAATACCAAAAAATATTTTTTTATTACTTTATTTTTTAAAAATAATTATTATGTTTTAGTTAATATACATTATATAACTTAAAGTAATTTTATACAAATACACTGTATTTGATATGTAAAGTCAATATACAGTTTTAGTTACTTAAAAGTTATTTAAGTATTATTATTATTATTATAATTGTTATTACTATTACTTTTTTATATTATTATTATCAATAGTCAAAAACTATTTATACAAACTTTATATATATATATATTGAGTTCAAAAAAAATAACCAAAAATTTATCAATCAATAGATAAATTTCTATCATTTAATTTCTATGAAAAATTATTATTATTATTATTATTATTAAATAAATTTCAATATCATAAATATTTATAAGTTTAAATGACATTTAATTTTTTTAAAAAATATTTTATTTATTTATTATTATCAATGATTTACTTGATTTTTTTTGTATCATATCATATAATATCCTCCCATATGATAGGCATACCTAATGTATGTCTCATTTTTTTTTTTGAATTTAATTTATTACATACCCTTACAATACCTGTCCGTTTTTTATGGGGTTAACTCCCATTTGATTCATAATTTATAATAATAAATAAATTTTTAACAATTTTTAACAAAATAAATAAAAAATTGTAAATTTTCTAAACAAAATTACTGAAAATATTATTTGAATTATTTAATTAACAATTTAAAAAAATAATATATCATAAGTTATTATTAATTTCAGATTATTATTATTAATAATATTCAATTTGTATAAAAAAATAATATTTAATATTAAATATAATTTTTTTTGACTAATTTGTACGTAATCTACAAAAACAAAACAAATAATTATTTTATTTTAATCATAAATCGTGTGTAAAAAAATTTTTTTTTGTATAAAAAATTAATTTTTAAATAATAATAATAATAATAACTACTTAAATAAATGATTAATTATATTAATAGCATCATCATAATCATCATCAACATTGAGATTATCATATAATTCAAACACACATTTAAAAAACATGATTCAAAAATTTTAACGCTATTTATCCAAAAAAAAAAATAATAATTTTATTTATTTTTATTTTAATTTATTATTTTATTTCGTGATTTCATTCATTTACTTTAAAAAATAAAAATATTTATTCAAAAAAATAATAATAATTACTACAAAAAATATCAATCATAACGTTGTTAAATAGCTAACTAATTATCAAAATTGAATGCTAACTGTTATAATCAAAAATTTTTAGTTTATTAAATAATAAATATTTATTATTGTTTATCATTTGAAAATAACATTTTATTTTTGTTGATTGTATGAAAATCTACAGTAAAACATAATTAAATCTATAATTTATTTTTGGTTTTAATTTAATTATAAGTTTTTGTTTTAATTTAATAATATGTTTTGTAATTTAAAATAAATATATTTTCAAAAATCATTAGCAAATAAATATAACTTATGTATTATTTAGCTATTAATGTCTAACTATATTAGTATTAATAGATAATAACTTTATTTTATTTTTTTATTTATTTACTAATTTAACTACTAATTGAAGATTATTTCAATGATATTTTTAATATATATATATATACAGTATATATATATATACATATATATATATATATATACAGTAATTATGATTAACACTAAATTTTTTTGTAACCAAACATTTCGTGATTAACATTGAATTTAATGTACAAAAAATTGTGTTTAGGTTTTCAACATTAATAATAAAACTAACTAAACATTTATGTTTAGGAGAGCACAGGTAGGTAGATGGGTAGGGGGTGTGTATGTATGAGAACTACACTTATAAACTAAATATTTTAATTTTTTATTTTATTTGATAATAACATTAAACAATCATTAGGCGCTTTTCATCATCACTAGTAGTATAGCTATATAAAAAACTACATTTTTTGATAGCACCGGTAGATATGATAGGAATGTCTATTATATTCACACGACATCATCAAAAACAAAATGGTTAGGCATTTGAAAAAAAAAATCTTAAATTTAAAATTTAATATAAAAATCATTAATCGGATTCATTGATAATAATCATTGACTTAATTTAAATTTTATTATCAATTTTATATATATATATATATATATAATATTATATTTAGTAAACTATTTTTGAAGTCAAAAATAATCTAAAAGTTTTTTAGTCTAACAATTAAAACATTAAAAAAATAATATAATTTTCTGTATTAAATTACTTGAAAAAAATTAAGTTTTTTTAATCAAAAAAAAAATCATAATTATAATGTAAAACATTGGGAAAAAATGACATTTTTTTAATTAATAATTTGAAATTATTTTTTAATTTAATAATATTTTTTTTTTGAAAAAAAAATAATTATTTACATAAATTAATAATTATGACAAAAATATTACTATAAATAATAATAATATTTATTATTAATTAAAAAATTATTATATAAGTATAATAAAAATCAATTATTAGTTCAAAAAATTATTTTTTAAATTAAATTATTATATAAATTTTAATTTTTTTATAATTTTATTTATTTTTCAAATAATATGTTTATATAACGACAATGAATGTAATAATATATTTAATGAAATTGAATTTGAATTTAGAAAATAAAAAAAATAATAAAAGTTAACAACAAATTATTTTTGTAAAATAATATCAATAATTACACATAATTTTATGTATATATATATATAAATCAATTTATAATTTAAATTTTGTTTTTTTGAAACACAAGGACAATGATAACAGACATAAGAGACAGACATTTATTAAATAATTATTATTAATATATATATAAATAATTAATTAATTTAAAAAAAAATAGTAAAAATTTTGAAATAATTATTTAAATCATTGAAATTCCTTAATATTATTATTATTAGTAATTTTTATGTTATTTTTCTATTTATTTATTCATTATTTTCTAATATTATTATTATTATAAGTATTACTTGTATTTATTAAGTACTTTATTGAGTTGTTTTTATTTATGTAAATCAAATAATTTGTATGAAAATTAGTGATATAAAAAAATCCACTTAAATATATATATATATTTTGATTATTATTATTATTATTATTAACACAATTTTATTTTGTAATGACAACCACACACTGTGTGTATGTGTTTTATAAGTGATTTTAAAAAATTTAATTTTTAATTATAAATATTTATTAAAAACAAAAAAAACTACTATTCCTTAAACACCCCTTTCATGACTATATATATATATATATATATATATCATTGATTGTCATTCAATATAAAATATAAAACTATGATTACATAGAAATATAATTTAATAATAATAATAATAATAATAATAATAATAATAATAATAATAATCAAATTACAAAATATTGTATAAAATTGTTTGAAATTTTTGTTGTTGTTGTAAAAAATTATTATAATTTTGTTGTTAATATTGTTTTTGTTGTTTTTATGTGTGTTAATAACTATTACTATTACTACTACTATAAAATCAATGCCATAATTGTGGCTATAATTATACTAATGATACTTAATTTCAAATTCATTGCTGAGGACAGTTGACTTTGTATGGATTGCAATGTCTTTTCGCTACATTCCGCTAGTTTAGGCTCCTGTATGTGGTTGGGATGGTATGGTAGGTATGGTTGATAGGTATGATGTGCCCAATGATGTAATCGTTAGATACAAACAAATAAAACAAAAATAAAAATTAATTAATTAATTATTGAAAAACTTCATCATTGATTTAAACAATTTTTAATCATTGCATAAATATTTTTAATTGAAAAAAAAACGAAATAATATATAATATAATTAGATTTTATATATATATATATTATAAAAGACATTCAATGTTAGTCCTAATAATAAACAAATAAATAATTATTTTTAAAAAATTATTTTAATTATTAATTGATAGCTAAATAATAGATAGATATAGAGATAGCAAACAAACTAAAAAAATAGTTAAAACTTGAAAATACTTTAAATTTAAACAATAAATTAATTATTAAACAAAAAACTGCTAATAATATAATTTTTTTTAAAAATATATAAATATATATATATATATATAAATAATATTTAAATGTCTATTGAATCACAAAATTTATATATATATATATATTAGTAGATAATAATTAGTGTTAGAAATATCGGGGGTGGGGGTAAAGTGGGTTATCATTAAAACCTCACAATTTCAGTAGATCAATTCAAATTAGAATTGAATTTTTCAGGGTATGGGGTAGAGGGTGGGTAGGGGGGTTATTACAATTAGTTACAACACATACATGTTTGCTATGGTAGTTATCGCACAGGTATTGTACGAGATTTATTTGTGTCCGTTCCTGTATATCATTGGATTGTTGGCCATCGATGATAATCCACGGTATAAACGTATGTTGAGGCTCAAGATTGAACGTCCTATGAGAATGGGCCACCATTAGCCGATCCCCGTGCGATCCATCTATACATTCGCTTAGTTGGGTCCAGTTTAGGTGTACGGTTTCGGCGCACTGGTAGGTCATAGATAGATATGATAGGGTGAGAGAAACAGATAGATAGATAGATAGATAGAGAGAGAGAGAGAGAGAGAGAGAGAGAGATAAGTATACAAAAAAAATAATTATTAATAAACTATATATAAAACTATTATAAAATTATTTTATTTAAATTAAAAATTGTATTTTTCTATTTAGTAAACAAAAAATCAATGTTTTTTTGTTGATAATTAATTTGTGATAATTATTTGTTGTGAAAATTATGATTAATATAATTATATATTAAAAAATTTTTAAAAACACAGATTTTTAGTACTGATAATAATCGGTAAAAATTATAAATTAAAATAAAGTTCAACATTAGTTTGTAATAATAATAATCATAACCTCTAATATTATTATTAATAATTTCAATGTATTATTAATAATAATTTTTTATATGTTTAACTAAAATTAAAAACATTGACTATAATTTGCATATCTAACTAAAAAAACAATTTGATTCAAAATGTATTAGTATTATATATATCATTAGTTTATACACTTATTACTAACTATTTATGATTAACACATACACACACACACATACACACACATACACACATACACACACATACACACACATACACACACATACACACACATACACACACATACACACACATACACACACATACACACACACATACACACACATACACACACATACATACACATATATATCATACACATACACATACACATACACATACACATACACATACACATACACACACAAACATACAAACACAAACATACACACACAACATATATTATAAAGTAATTTATTATTTTTAATAATAATCTGATAAATAATAATGTAATTAACACACACACATGACTTTGACATTAATACATTGAAAATTAAAAAAATCATATATAAATTTATTCAATATATTAACTTATGTTTTATCTTTTTAAAAAAAATAAAAAAATTAAAGCCTAAAAGCAATATTTTACATTAAAAATTGTTGTTTATATGTTATATATATTATCAAAATCGACTAATGATTTTTATTTTTAAAAAAAATGCTAAAATTTAATTTTATAAAAACACATTTAAATTTTAAATTATATTAAATCTGATTTTCCTATAGCTTAATACAGGTATATACAGGTATAGACACTATCATTATAAAAAAAGTATCATCAATTATATATATATATATATATACTATATAATATATATATATATATATATATATATTCATAAAACATTTGAAACATTTACTAAATGTTTTCAACACTGAAATAAATTTTTGTTTTTTTTAATTTTAAATATTTTAATTTAACGTTAAAGATATATAGATAAAAAAAACCAGTCGTTTAATTTAAAATAATTAAAAATAATTATTGGTTTGTATTGACTTAAAATATTATTTAACATATGTGTGAAAACTTAAAATTTTTATATTTAATATCAAAATTATATAATAATGTAATCCTATAWATATATATATATAYATRTATATAGTTGTATATAATTGTGCATTAATTTTAACAAATTTAGTTTAAGAAAATTTAAAACTTAAAAAAATTTAATTTAATTTTTTTTTGTATAATACTCTGTATATAAAAGTATAATTAAATTATTTAAACGAAAATATAACTATATATATATATATATATATATATATATATATATAATAAATAATTCATTAAAAAATTATACGGGTATAATATTACATAAAATAAAAATTTATGAAAATTATGTTTATTTTATTTATTTTTTTTTGGTTAAAAACTTATTTCATTGTCATTTAATAGTCTCATAATAAATAATAAACATTTTTTWGGACACTTATATWTATATATATATATTGTAATAATTTTATTACATAATTATAACCAATTATAATAATTTTTTTTATAATAATAAATATTTTTCTACATAATAGTAATAACAGGTTTGTTATCAAAATTTTTTTTTGTTGATAACATCCATTTAGTTGAGTTCAAGCATTCAAAATAAAATAAAAAGTTAATACACAATAGACACACTACTAGTAGTGAATTTTATTTTATATTTTTTTTATTATTATATAATTTTTTAATAGGAGAAGCGCACAGGTATGTCAAACATGTACTTATGTCGGACATTGCGCCAGTGAGAGGGGCTCCCAGTTGTTAGTATGTGTATGTGTATGTGTATGTGTATGTGTATGTATGTATGTGTATGTGTATGTGTATGTGTATGTGTATGTGTATGTGTATGTGTATGTGTATGTGTATGTGTATGTGTATGTGTACTGTATGTGTATGTAAACCCACAATAGGGTTGTTAGAAAAAAATATTAATTTTTTTTATTATGCTATTAATCAATACCCATGACATATACCTTATACAATAGATTATAGTTAGATATAATATTATTTATAATAATAAAAAATAAATTTAATAATAAATTATACTATTATTTTTAATATACAGTATTATATATGTTAATACACACTGTATATTGATGATAAAAAATTTTAATAAATTATTTTAACAACAAAAAATACATGTTTACACATGTACATTATGTAAATATATATATAACTTATATATATATATATACATATTTTTAAAAAATAAAAATATGTAAACTTTAATTAAGCATAAAAAAATATGACAACCCTAGTATGTATATATATATATATATATATATATACATACAACTAGTGTCTAACTTAATCATCAAATACATGTCCATTAGTTTTTATATTTTTGTTGGTATGTTATATATGTTGACTACCATTATATACTGTATGTATGTATGTATTGATGGTTAAGATAAACATCAACTAAACTAACCATAAAAATAATAATAAAGTTATAATTAAACAAAAATAAATAAATAAATATGATTTGTATCTCAATATTGAAAACTAAAAAAAATTTCTTTTATTATTATAACTATTATATTATTCAAAACCAATACCCACTCTCTCTTATATATATATATATATATATATATATATATATATAGTATATCTACCGGTAATTGACTGCACCGTCAGTTCAGTGAACATCTAATCTTTGACTTTCAATACAACAACAAAACAAAAAAAAAAACAGTCGTTTAAAGTCATACTTCCCACTCATAGATAGACAGATAGATATATAGTCTCTCTCTTTCAATCTCTCTATTCATTGACTTATCAAATAAAAAAAATAAAATAAAAAGTTTTTATTTTGTATTACATTTATTGTGAACTCATATATAAAGTACAGTCAGTATATAATGAATCAAAAAATTATTCAAACATTTTTTCTAAACAACAAAAATCTTTTTAGTATTAATTTTATATACTGTATACTATATATTAAAGATTATAAGTTTTAAAAATACATTATCTAATAGTCTAGTGGAAAGTTATGTGTGTGTGTTTGTATGTGTGTATGTGTATGTGTATGTGTATGTGTATGTGTATGTGTATGTGTATGTGTATGTGTATGTGTATGTGTATATGTATGTATGTAGTTATATGTATGTGTGTGTATGTATGTAGGTATGTGTATGTGTTGGTATGTTTAAGCACATTAGGAGGGGAACGGTAGGTGAGGGTAACCAAACTGAGTAATTTAGTCACATATTGTATGTAAAAAGTTACTCACGATTTATTCACGGTTTAGTATATATTATATATATATATAACTATCTATTTTTGATTTGTTTTTTTTATATATAAACTAAATTATATAGTGTTTGAAATATAATATAAAAAAGGGATCTTCCCTTATATATATAATATATAATCATATATATATATAYATATATATAATATATTATATTTATAATGAATTACTATAACTACTACTACTACTAGTAGTTGTGTTCAATGTTTAACAACACTAAACAAAAAAAATAGTTTAATATTATAATAAAAACAACAAAAAATATTTGTATAGAAAATCATTGATTGACTGCTAAAAACCAATCACTTTTAATAATAAATAATTTTTTTTAAATATTATTATTATTATTATAAAAGTGTGTTTTGATTGCTGTCATTAAATAAATTATTTAAAAAAACCACTTTTTATTGTTTGAATACTAATAATAAAAATAATTTCTAATATAATCATAATAATGATAAAAAAAATTATTATTAATGATATGAAACTAACTGTATGTATGTATTAAAAAAATACAGTAATATATAATAGTTTATAAGTTTTTATTCAATGATTAATATACAGTATATATATATAGTACTGTACTGTATATTATGTAATAAACAATTTGTATTTTTTAAAAAATATATAATAATACAGTATATATATAATAAAAAAAAGTACACTAATAGTGATTTACACGCGACACGTGTGTGTGTGTGTGTTAGTGTAATGATATATTACTGTAAGTAATTGCTATTTAAACAACAAAAAAATATATAATAATAATAATAAGTATTGTATTAACAACAAAAAAACTACATTTTTTTATTTGTATTAAAAGTCAATGTTCCCAATGGGAATGGGAGATAAAAAATAATAATAATAATAAATGGTCTGCCCTTTAAAAAAAAATCCCATCAAAAGGGTTTAGACAGTAAAGTGATATTACTGTATATTATAATAATAATAATAAATTTAAAACTTAAAAATTTAGATTTAATTTTAAATAAGATTTATATATATATWTATATATATATATTTTATATATATATTATATGCATATTATAGCTGTCTGTTTGCAACAAACAAACAAAAAAATTAGTATAAATTTATTTTCTWAATAATAAAAAAATAATTTTATTTTTTWTMTATATTAATGGGTGTATTAATATAAAAACGTTTGAAACAATAAAAAATATAATATATATATAATTTAAAAATTAAAAAAAAACAAACAAAATATTTTTATTTTATATGTTTTTTTTTCATTTATTTAAAAATAAATTGTTAGACAACTAAATGATGATTAAAAAGCTATGATATACTGGTATAATAATAACAATAATATAATAATAATATATTGTATTTTAATTTATATACCCTTTTTTKTAAGTATATATTGTCTCAAAAAAAAAGTTATTTATTTTATTTTTTTATATTATTTAAAACACAATCAAATAATTTTTTGTTTTGTTGTTTTTCAAATGCACTAAAAATATTGTATAATAATAATAGTAATTATTATTATTATAATGTAATATCAAATCTAAAATATTGTAATATAAATATAATTACAATATATAAATACATTTCAAATTTATTATTGATATGTAAATTAAAAGTCAATATATATTTATAATTATATATTTTTAACTATAAAGTACTGTATTTTATTAAAAACAATAATTTTATTATTATTTATATAAATAAAATCAGTTTATTATTAGGGCGTCAAACATCTAGACATTAATTATTATTATTATAATAATAATAAAATTATTATATTTGTATTGCAAATAATTTGACAAAAAAGGTATTGTTTTAATATATTTTTAAAAATAGTAATAATAAATAAATAATAAAAATAATAATATAATTTATTTGAATGAACTAATTGTAAAATATTTATAGTAATATATAATAATATTACTAATAATTACATATTATTTTTTGGTTATAACTAATACTATTATTAACTAACTTTTTAATCATTTATTGATTTTTTTCATTTTAAATTTAAGATGTTTTTTAAAAAAGTTTTTAATTTATTGCTAACTTTTTTCCCCAAATAAATATATATTAACTTAAATGTCTAAAAAAAACTAAATAATAACAAAAATAATTTGATGCCAAAAGTGATGGTTAGAAAAAACAAATAAAAAAAATTTCATTAAAATTTAGTTTTTTTATTTAATATTATGGGTAAAAACCGGTCAACAATTTTTTCCTTATAAAAAACAACTATTATTTTTTTTGAATACAATTTATAATACAAAAATTATTATTAAAGTATATGAAATATATAAATATTATATATATATAAAACAAATATTATTAAACAACAATATTATATAATTATTTTTCACACACATATATATATTGACACTAAAACAAGTTATTTTATCAATAGTTTATTATAATATTATTTTATGTAAATATTTTTATCAAAAAACAAACATTTATTTCATATCAAACATAATATCTTTTAATTTTCTCTCTCATAGAAAAAAAAATAAAATAATTATATTATAGACAGTATTATATATACTGTAAAAAATTATATATTAAGTCTAAACAAAAAATAATAGTCAAATAACTTTTTGTATAAACAAAATATTTATTTAAAAAATATCTTAATTTATATTTTTTACTAATTTTATTTGTTATACATTTTTTGTTTCATACAAATAAATGTTGACTAATATATATTACAAAATGTTTATCAATTATATATATATATATATATTGATATATATATTAAAGTTTTATTTCATACTAGATTTGCTAACTTAATTGAATTTGGATAGCAATCTACTGTATATATATATAATTGATTTAATATATAAATAAAATTACTATAAATAATATTATATATAGTATAAGATAGCAATATATATATAWATATWTAAAAAAAATTCAATTAAAAAACTAACATATAATTTGATTAATAAAATAATAATTTAATTTAATTTGACATTTTCTAAAAAAATAAATAAAATTAATTTCCAGACAACTAATCAATAAATATTTTTTAAAACCCTAATATACAGTATTATACTGATAACCCCTAAAAAATTATTATTATTATTAATATTAATACAGTATTATATCACTTGTAATTAATTTTCAGGCAAATAACTAACTAAATAAAAATCACATGTGAATTACACATACATATATAAACCAATTGAAAATAATATATACAGTATATATAATAATTTTGTTTTAAACAAAAAATTTATTTGAAACCAATAATAATGGCTTATATTTTGATTGCACTGTAATTTAATGGCAATGAAAATACACAGTTTATATATATAACTATTAAATAATAATAATAATAATAATAACAAAATATTTGAGATATAACTAATGTCTAACACTATTAATAGTATTAATAAATTATTTATGATTTGTAAGTTTAGACTGTATTTATTTTTTTGAATATATTATATAAAAACAATTACTGTTTGAATACCTTATAGTCTATAATAAATAAGATTTTTTTTCTCTCTCTCTCTCTCTATATATATATATTGAAATTTTCATCACTAAATGTTTTTATTAATATATATATATATATATATATATATATATATATATATATTTATATTAAATCTAGTAGTAATTGATTTTAAATATATATTAATAATATATAAGTCATAATCACTATTAACTATAAATAATAATTTTGAAAAACAATTTTCGGTTTACTTATTATTATTATTCAATAAAAAAACAGTAATAATAATCATAATAATCATAATTTTTTTGAAATCATTGAATATTTAAATCAATCGTCACATAAAAAATTAATAGTATATTATAATCAATAAAAAAAATATATATTAATTTATATTCAAGTTTTTATTTTCACATTATATTTGCTGTACAAATGACAAGACATATACAATATATATATATATATATATATATATATATATATATATATACCTTATTATAAAAATATTTTTATATACATTTTGAAATATAAGGCTATTTTTTCGGTTGAAAATTATTTATTTATATTTTTTTTTGCTTCGAGGCTATGATTTAATTAGAAAAAAATAACTAAATTATATACATATGGTGTCTGTATATCAATATATATATATATATATATATAATATATACAATATATTTAGTATATGTCCTAAAACTAAACTATTTTTGTTGTTGTTGTTTAGTTTTTTATTATTATCACTATATTTAATACATTAACTAACTATACATTTCAATTGCCAAATGTTGTCGATAAAAAAATAAAACAAAAAAAGTTTTATAATTTTTTAAAAATACATTATATATTTAGTTGAAAACATTTTTTTATTGTTTATATATTTCAAGTGTGGGTTTTAAATTATATACTAGTGTTTTGTTTTTTTGTTTTCAATATTATTATTATTAATTGCAAATTATATTTCAAACTTATGTTTTATTAAACTGATTTATATATTAGATTAACACAAAACAAAGTTTAATAATATTAATAATAATATTAATATTATTATTATTATTAATAGTATATCATAACAATCATTAATATTTATAATAATTTTTGTATAATTTTTTAAAAACTATTTGTACATCAATTCTCAAAATGTGAAAATCACAATAAATTTTTTGTTTTCAATAGTAATAATTAATCAAAAAATTTTAATATATATATCAATATATATATAATTTATATATAATATATAATTTATTATATATATATATATATATATATAGCTATGGCATTGAAATTACTCTGACTAAACATATTTACAAAAAAATTTTACATTTAAATTACAAAATTAATAGTTTAAAACATAAATAAATAAATGGCTAAATAAAATAAATAAAACTTATTTTTAGGAAATATTTAAATTGAATTTTTTCTAACAATATATTCATCAAAAAATAAAGTCAATATTAATAATCAACTGTTTTTTAATGGATTCACACATTCAATACAATAAATTTATTAATAATATATATATATATATTAGTCATAGACATCACATAATAAACAAAATTTTTGACAAATTATTGGCAAATCTATAGTATTATTATTATATATATATATATATAGTATGTGTCGTGTGTTTGTGTAATAAAACATTTTTCTGACAAAAAAAAACTTTTAGTTTTTTTTAACACTTTTATAATATATTTAAGTAAAGTTTAAGAAAGTTTATGTAAGAGAGAGAGAGAGAGAGAGAGAGAGAGAGAGAGAGAGAGAGAGAGAGCTATTCAAAGCCAATGAACCTAATAAATAGTCGTCGGGTCCGGACTTTCAATAGTACAGTCAAACCCCCCTTAACGACAACAAACAAGCTATTGATAAGTTAGGCAAACATTGGCACAAAATTTTTGTTGTTGTTGACTACATAAGCTACACAACACCTGTGTCATAAACTTGGCATTGGGTATACTGTATATACAGTATACCCCACCCCCCACAAACACATAATCACACACCCGGGTATTGATTTCAATATACAGGAGGGGTTACTAAACTGTGTTCCATAAGCTATAGATAATAATAATAAGTCTATTATACAAACATTTAAGTACACATACATACATACATACACACACCTGTGTGTAATATCACACAATTACCGGCACCGGTATGTATCCAACAACAACAACAACATTAGACACTGATATATCAAATATCTAACTTTTCAATGGGGACCTGGGGGGTGGGGGTGTATGGGTTAACCCTTTCAATTCAAACAACAACAATAACAACAAAAAAGTAATCCTAAAGTATTAATCATATATATATATTAGGGAAAAGTCATAAATTTTATTTTTTTTTAAATCAAATAAACTACTAATAGCTTGAATATAATAAGTTATTCAAACAACATATAGTATATATATATAGTTTACAACAGTATATAATATATGTTATAATTTATATATATATATTTATTTATAAGATTATATATCTAAAATATACATGACCAGCACACATGTACATATTTAGCACCGGTATATATATATATATAATGTATACTAATATACGGTATATATATATCAATACAATGATAATAAAAATATCCATAATTTTCAAAACAAATAAATAATTATTTGTTGTATCACTTTATTTAAACACAACTATTAATATATATATATATATATATATATATATATATATATATATATATCATATCATATCATATATACAAACAAAATAAAACATTTATTAATATTAGCCAAAAACAGTATTTATTTATTTAAAAAAAAAAATTTTTTAGGGGACACCCCTGTATACTGTACTATCATATATATATATATTATCTAAGTACCGGTATGTATATAATAATACTCAATAATATTTAATCCATAGGCTTACCTGTTTGGCCGTAACCTGAGTCTGGCGCCAATTGCCTGCGGAAAACATACACGCAATATACTGTAGTGTAGTCGACGGTTGGCCACTGATACCCGTACCCGACATTTTCGTTATATCCAATACACATGCCTGTGCTTTATTACCGTAACATTCATCGGGGCCGTGCTGGCACCTGAACGATGGTTTACGGTCATAGTTTGGATAGCTGACGTTAGCATTGCCAAACGGTATTAGGTCGACATCCAGATATTGGCCCAGTTTTTCGTAGGCCGGCATCAATTGGTTGAGAAAAAATCGTCGACTGTCCGGACATATTGACTCGTAATAGACAGACAATCGGTTACTGATCTGTTAATAAGTAATTAATAATTTAATTAATTAAAATTATAAATAATTAAATTAGTATTAATTTAGAATTTAATTAATTAATTAAATAGTAGTTATTATATAAAGTAATTTAAATAAAAATAGTAGTTATTCTATAAAGTAATTTAATTAAATAAAAATATTTATTATTCAATAGTATAAGAGAAATATAACTTAAATTTTTTGTTTGTTGCTATAAATTTACTGTTTATTATTAATTAATTTTAATTAAATTTAATTATAAATTACTATTAATTTATAATTTAATTAATTAAACAAAAATAGTAGTTATTATATAAAGTAATTTAATTAAATAAAAATATTTATTATTCAATAATATAAGAGAAATATAACTTAAATTTTTTGTTTGTTGCTATAAATTTACTGTTTATTATTAATTATCTGATTTGTTTAATTAATTTTAATTATAAATTTAATTATAAATTAGTATTAATTTATAATTTAATTAATTAAATGAAAAAATAGTAGTTATTAATAAAAAGTAATTTAAAAAAAAATTATAATATAATTTATAATTCAAAATTTAATTTTGATTTTAATAATTCAATATTACTTATGATTATTATTTAATAATATAATAGAAATATAACTAAAATTTATTTGTTTGTTTGTTTGCTACAAATTTTATGGTATATTATAGTCTATATTGTATTGTAATTAACTAAATATTAACTAAACTAAATAAATATATTTTTTTAATTTAATTAAATATTTTTTAGATAGTTTTTCCTCCAAAATAATAAACTATAATTTTATTTGCATTAGTTTTAACCTAAATAATAATAATGTATTTTTTATATGATATTTACAACTAGTAATTGAAACCAATAATTATTAATATAATATTTATTTAGTTTTCAATAATAAACTGTTATATTATTTACAAAAAAAAACAATTCAATAACAAATAATATAATTATTATTATTATTAACTTTCAATTTCCTCTCTATCTATTGAAAAGTGATTTTTATTAAAAAAATTAATTTTTATTACTAATATTTAATTTGTTTAAAAAATAATTTATTTAAAAAAACAAAATAACTATAACATTGACATATATGTAGTTTTAACTACTAGTAGTTATTACTAAAATATTTTTTATTTAAATAAACAAAAAAAATGATTTTAAACTTTTATTTTCCTTAATAGCAATAATAATAATAATAATATTGTTAACAAACAAACAGTAAATATTTACTAAAATAATTTCAAACAAAATATAGAGATATTTTTCACACTTTTGCAAATTAATTAAAAAACTAAACAATAGTTTTATTTAATTAATTGTGTTAAACAATTAGTTTTAAATATATAATTAACAAATAAAATAAAACAATTGATGTCTACTTTTTATTTGCTAAGTGATTGTTATCATCATTACTACTATTACTACTAAACTAATTGTATTATAATTATTATTAATGTTTTTTTTTTTAAAAACAAATTATATATTATTTTTGATGACTTACATGATGTGAATTAATCACTAGAAATAGTTGACATATAAATAGTTGAAAATAATAACAAATTGTTATAAATTTTGGCATTTTTTTTAAATAGTTTGGTTACTCCACACACACACACAAAAAATTTAATTAAAAAAAATAAATTTTAATTTAATTTTGATAATAATATATATTGAATAACACACTAATAGCACTACACACACACAGTTATACACCAAATAATATATATATATATTTCAAACACACAAATATATATATATATTAATCACTAGAAAAAAGTTTTTTTATATTATAAATCCATACAAAATAATTGGACAAACAATTTGATAGTTATGTTGTATATTATAACAAAAAAAAACTGTTATTTATAACACACAATAAAAAAACAATTGAATAAAACCATAGATTTTAATAATAATAATAATATACAACAAAATAAAACTTTAAAATATTTTTTTAAGTTGAAAATCACTGTCTCTTTTCAAAAAAGACACCAATAATTATGAGGTCCTCTCTCTCTCTCTCTCTCTCTCTCTCTCTCTTTATCTCTCTTTCAGTGTTAAGTCAAAAGGTGTGCGCAAAACAACACTAAACCAAAACAACTATTTTGTTGATAACTACTTAATACTATACAAAACACAACTACCAGTCCTCCTCACACATACACAACAGTAAGTACACTGTATGGAGAAGCCAGAGCACAGTTGGCTGTGTGTGTGTGTGTGTGTATGATGTCAGGTGCTCTCTATCTGTATGTATCTCTCTCTGTTAGTATGTATGGGCGATACGGACGCAACCAAAAATAGCAGCAGCACTAGTATGTATGGGCTCTCTATCCTCAGTATTATCAACAACAACAACAAAAAAAACCTAACTTTCCTCAAGCAAACTAAAACTACACGAAATATCTTTCAGAGAGTGTATGTATGTATGACTGATATGACTGTATATTTTTCAGGGACTGGGAGATAGTATATAGTATACACGGTATGCCATATAATATAAGGTCATCGCTTCCCTCTTAAAACACCAGTACTGTTGGGCTCAGGGAGAGAGAGACTGAGAGAGACTGAGAGAGACTAAGAGAGAGAGAGAGAGAGAGAGAGAGAGAGAGAGAGAGAGAGAGAGAGAGATTATATGTATGTATGTATTGAGTGAATAATTTATTGCTAACTCCTATCCTATCCTTAGAGATACCGGTTCTCTAAACTTATAAAATAAAAACCTCTTAAATGCTATGTTTTTGTTATTATTATTATTATTATTATTATTATTGCCAGACATTTCTTCAATGTTTTTTTATTTTGTTGTATATTTTGAGTGAAAATTTTTAGTTTTATTTTTAGTTTTAGTTTACTAAACAGTTTTTATAAATTTAATTTTAATATATTTGAAAATATAATGAAATTTTAATTATTATTATTATTAATATTTTTCGGGACATTGAAATAAACTGTTTATAATTTTTTGTTTATGTATTTATGTAGTCTATTATAGTATATATTTAGTAAAAATTATTAAAAGTTATAAAAAATATAAAATAATATTAAATTTATTTAGACTATGATTTGCTAGATGTTTGCTAATATATTTAGAGGAAATTTATATATATATATATAAACTAATTTTTTTGTATGTAATACATATAGTTTAAAACAAAAATAATATTAAATTTATATATATAACCAAAAAAATATAGTTAACAATTATAATGTGTATTTTTGTATAGTTTGTAATTTAATTGTACAAAAAAATATTATTATTATACAATTATTAAGATTAATATATTCAAAATGTATTTGAATAATATCTATGATATCCTCAAACATATGGCAACCCTAGAGGGTCTATACGTTTGTTAAATCAAATTTTTATTATTATTATTTTATATATATATATATATATATATATATATAATATACTATTTTTGACAATAACTATATATAAAGTGTGTTCAAACACATACACACAGAGATAATCAGTTAAATACCTATCAAAATGTTTTTTTTTAAAGATTCAAAATAAAATTATATAAAAATATTTTTTTGATTGATATATACATTGAATACCATAACAATTATTAACATTATTTTATTGTTGTTGTTGTACTGTATATATACACTGTATTTGATTTATATAAGACAACAATAATTGTATTGTATTTTGTTATTAGAAAATATTTTTGTATTTAATATTTAATATTAAACATTAAATACATATTATATAGAGTTTATATATTATTATTATCAGTTTTGACTATTAAATAAACATTTATTGTACTATGTATTATGTATTCAATGAATTTCAAGTTTAATAAAGTATTAAATATTAAATGTTTTCAAAAAAAATAAATAAAAATATTAATCCATAAAAAACTTTTTCAAAAACTATAAGTTAAAAAAAACTATTATAATATTATAATAACTTAAAGTATAATAATAATAATAACAACAATAATAATAATAATACTTTAAAAAAATTAAAGCCAAGAAGCGATATAATGATAGTATAAACTTTCAAAAAATAAAAATTTAAAAAAACTAAAAATAAAACATTTTTAAAAACTTTCAAACAAACAAACAAAACAACAAAAAAATTATTGTCAAAATAGTTTTAAAACATATTATATGATATAATAAATGATAACATTATTATTTATTTTTTGTTATTTTAAGTATCATTATTAGGTTTGACAAAAACTTATGTTAATATTATGTTTAAAAAAAATTGATAATAATCTCAGTTTCTCTCTCTCTCTCTCTCTCTCTCTCTCTCTCTCTCTCTCTCTATATTAATAATAATAATAATAATAATATAGTAATATATTATATGACACTAACTTAACGTATTTATTGTATTATTATTATTACTGTATTTTTTCAGATGATTATAATTTTCTATACCTATTATATATCTTTATTATTATTATTATTATCATTATTATTGTGTTATTTTTATTTTGTCAAAAGTCATCACTAGTTTTATTATTATTATTATTTGATTTTTATTTATTTTTTTTGTTGGTTTTGTAAACAAAAATGTCAAATAAAAATATACTAACAATAATAATAATATAAAAACATTTTTTTACTATCTATGATGAAAAATAAATTCATTCAAAAAAATTTTTTTATCTAATAATATATATATAAATAACTTACTGTATGTCTAAATATAATAATAATTTTATTATTATTATTATACAATATATACAAACAATAAAAAAAATGCAATTTTATATGAATTATTAGCTTAAAAAATACGCCCAAATATTTAGCTATTTATATATATATATAAAACAAAATGTCTATATTTTTTTGTTGTTGAAAAATATACACAATATTTTATTCATAAATATTTTATTTTTACCGACAAATAAATCATCAAAAAGTTTAGTTATTTTTTTTGGTTTTGTTTTTGAGATATGAAATATGATATACAATATATGCAAAAAAAAATTAAAAACAACAACAAAATTAAAGTTAAATATTTATTTAATATAAAAATTTTATTGTTTTTTTAATTTTAGGGATACACCAAAAATGTGTAAATTTAATTTAAAAATTAATATTAACATAAAATTTAAATTATTATTTACACTAACAAATAATTTAATAATACTGTATATATATATATATATATATTTAAAGTGGGGTTATATCTCATTAAATAAAATTGATAATAATTATTATAATAAAATTAATAGTATATATTTATATATTATTTAAGTATTATTATTATTTATAAAAAAAAATTCAAATTAAATAAATAGTTTCAAAATATATAAAACACACATACATTTTGTTTAACTCAGCAAAAAAAAATATCCATTAATTTTAATTAGATTTAAATCACCCGAAAATATATATATAAATAAATACATTTTAATTTAATACAAATCAAAACAATTTTCCACTAATTTAATAATAATACTAATAATAAAAATAAAAACTGTTATTAAAAAAGCTATTTGTAATACAGTTTAAAAATTTTTATTAAATAGTTTAATACAAATTAGTATATATGATATTGAAATATAATATATATATATATCAATATTATATACTAATTTATATTAAACTATTTAATAAATTTAAAAAAAAAAATAAGATATATATTATATATCTTAGTTTTTTTTAAATGCTAATAAATTATAGATAATATCATATCATTAATTTAATTTCAATATATAAATATATTTAATTAATATGTTATATAAATACTGTATATATATTGCATGTTATATATATATATATATATATTAAAAATTACTATCAAAATAATGATTGACTATTGAAATACATTTAATATTAAAATTTTGAAAAAAATTAAATTAAATGCTAATAAGTAAACTTATATATAACTACTTAATATTTATATAGTATTAACATTTTTAAAAAAAATACTGTATATATATTGTATATACAGTATATTGTTAATAACAAACATATATTTAAGGATAACATATTAATTAATAAATAAATTGATTTTTTTGAAAATAAAAAATAAATAATAAATTAGTATATATACTAATAACTAAAAATAAATAATAAATAAATACATTTTTGTTGTTATAAAGATTTATAACATAACTACAACAATAATATTGTAATTATTATATTATATAAAACTAAATACAGGTATTATATACAGTATATACTGGATATTTTTGCTATTTAATAGTTAATACTTATATAGTATAATATACAGTATATATACACACATAGAAAACAATAACATATTATATATACTTATATTATATATAAACATCAAATGTAATACCTATTGATTGATTATCCAATAGATGTATACATCTATTATATACTATATTATATATATATATATAGACCGCACCCGTATGTATAGCCAACAAAAAAATATAATTTTTTTTTGTATATTAACGTTAATAGCTTGACTGATCATCAAATTAAAAATAAAATTAAAATAAAATAAATTACATTTAATATAATATTGAAATATAAATTAACAGATAATATGTTTATACAAAAATAAGTTATAATTTTTAAAAAATAAATTACAAAGTTTTGAATTTGATTTTT